AATTATACGCCAAAAATTAATTAAGCGATCAGTTCAGTCCATTTTTCAGCGTTAATAATCAAAATAAACTTTCCTAATCGTTAGTACGTTCAAACAAACAAAGAACTCTTTCCGTTCCAGTTGCAACACCTTCGTTCCTCAGTTTTTTTCGGGTTTGCATATACGAATAGGCGTATAATTACCGTAGCAACTAACGGACTGCTTCTCCACTACATACTACACTACATGTGTCCTACTTATGAGCAACATTTTATTCCTTGTCTTTCGGCTGACAATGTTGAAAATGCATAGAGACTTTCATGGCTGTTCGTATTAAAACAGGAAATGGAAAATAATTAAGTTTTGACACTAAATTTTACAGGAGGAATTAAGACTCCATTATCCTAATGGTGCACAGTAATACTGTAACTTAACACAGATGTGCTGTGAAATGATTGCAAACTTAACTATTTAGAACGGCTGCAGACAGCAGTATCAGCTGGGACAGTATTTCCGAAGAAGGTACGCAACATTTTTGAGTGCCCAGTACAAGAGACATGAAGTATGGCGTTCGTCTATTTGTAAACAATCTATGTAGTGTCTTTAATCAAGATTTACATTCGGTCTACCGACACTGATCGGACATTGGCCAGTGCCCAATGCAATTTAGCTGGGTTGTATCCGCCGTCTGGAAGTCAGAGATGGAGTTCTGACATTGCATGGCAGCCGATTCCAGTGCATACCGTTTCGCGAAAAAACGACATAGTAAAATCCGTTTTGTGGTTAGCTTTAACGTTGCTAATAATTTTAGTTGTTGAGTACAAGTGTCTCCTGTCCGGCGTATACCGAAATTTTCAAGCATCATATGCGCAAAGAACACGATAGAATAAACAAGCAATATGAGGTAAAATATTTTGAAATTAAACCATAAATCAGTTAACTCAGTTTCGATCACCGCTTATCATTTTGGGTAGCAAAGGCCAGAGGGTCAGATAGGTCTTCAGCATTATCGATCCTGTGCAAGCGTCTGGGTTTCGGTAAAAATATAGTCCGAGTTTCGAGCCATGTTCGTCGTGATTCTTTCTCGAACCAGCCATCATGGTTTTCAGGTAGTTGTTTAAAGAAGTAGAAACTGATTCGCCTGTCCTTCTGGAAGAATTCTCTAAAAGTGCCGAAACCACTGTAACTGTGACATATCAATATGGAATACTAGCGACTGTACACCAAGGCTTTCTTGGATATCTGACCTTCGGACTCTCTCAAGAAGCATGAGCCAAGCGATTTGTCTCATAAATTCCAGTTCAGCCGCTTGTACCCGAGATCGTGGTCTACGATTTATGACCAGAGGTGAGCAGGGGAATGAAAATCGATTTGAACACAGACCGATTAATACGCAGCTCTATTTTCGTCGCAACGGTTTCAGGCTGGTTCACGCAAAACCTCCCTTACCATTTCGGTTTTGGTTCCAATTCACTGGTCCATCTTTTCCTCCCATTTTTCATCATCAGTAAATGCGACCTTGAGGAAGTGAACTTTTCCACCTGTTTCACTGCTTCTACGTTAATCAGCAAAACGTAGAGAGCGAGGCTTTCGTTTTAGACACGTCAGCAGCCATGTTGACCATATCATCATCAACTTCGAACCGAGGAAGATGTAAGCAAGAAAGGGTCGTTTGCAAACAGCAAACTTCTTGCCTTTGCTGATACACTCGTGGGTCTGCCTGCCCCGAAATATTTTATCCATGTACAACATAAACAGGAAAGGGAAAAGAACGCAACCTTGACGGTGTTAAGTCTGAAGGGCATCGACCTGGGGTTATTTACTTTGATACAGCACCTT